GATTTACTTGACAGTGCTGAAGTTATTCCTTGTTGCAAGCTCACACACATGAAAGCCAGGCAGTGCAGGTGGGTCCAACATGCAGCTGATAGAGTCAGTGAGGTTGGAAAAGACCTCCAAGATCACCAAGTCCAATCCCAGCCCCACCATCCCCATCACCATGTCTCTCAGTGCCGCATCTCCACTGGGTGGCATGTTTCCAACCAGCTGAGCGTGCTCTGATATCTCAGAAGGTGGTGAGGCACTGGAACAGGTTGCCCAAGGAGGCTGTGGATGCCCCCATCCCTGCAGGCATTCAAGGCCAGGCTGGATGTGGCTCTGGGCAGCCTGGTCTGCTGGTTGGTGACCCTGCACGTAGCAGGGGGTTGGAACTGGATGAGCACTGTGTTCCTTTGCAACCCTGGCCATTCTGTGATTCTGTGATCTCCAACATGGATTGATGTGAAAATGCGTCTCTGTTGCTGGTTAATTTGTCCCATGTGCAGAGATTTCAGTGGAACAGAGTCTGAAGGGATTGCCCCATGTTACACTGTTTAGCAAAGCTTACAGCTTTGAGGGCACAGTTCATGTAAGGTCATCCCATGAAAAGCATCCACGGAAAGCATTGATAAAGGACAGATGTTTTTAAAAATGAGAGTGGGAAACCAACTTCAAACAAAGGCAGGCATTTGAAATTGCACTGGTAAGATGTGAGAAGTGAATTTACTTGCCTTTTTTGTCTGGATAGCAGCTAGCTCAGTGTTCTGTTCAGCCCTCCACTGTGTAGCTGTGATGATGTTCTGACCTCAGATGAATGTTTTCAGTCCAGTTTTCAGAATGTTTTCAGATGTTGAAAAAAGATGAAACCTAAAAATATGGGAAAGCTTTTGGGTTTTTTTCTTCTTTTTTATTTCTGTGCTTGATAGGGTGTAAACTAGGGAGCCAACAAGACACAGATGCTGTGGGATGGAGGACGAGCCAAGGCGATTTCCTTTGTGAGCTGTTGCGTGTTTCCTTCCCTTGGGGCAAGCAACCTGCAATGCTGCATGCCCCCAGCATCCCCAGGCCTCTCCTTTACTCAAAGCAGGGTGGGCACAGGGCTGAAGCAGCAGTTGTCTGTCTGTCTACATTAGTGAAGATGCAGCCATTTCAACCCTTTTCCTACTCTGGCACTGTACCTTAATAAAGGTTTCCAGTATCAAATGTGTTGACCACAGTTCCTAGGCTCCTATACACCAAAGGAAAAGCAGGTTTGTTCTCCAGTAGCAGGTGATGAGGCAGGGGAACATGTGAGTGGAAGCAGAGGTCAGGCAGCCTGTTCCCAACAGCACTTCTTCAAACCCTATTAAAATTCATAATTAACTCTATCATAAAGCAATTCAGGCAGAGCCAATGCCCAGCTTGAAGGACTTACTGGGAACTGTGACTTCATTAAGAAACATTGGCAGCATAGCCCCAGGGCAGGCTGTGCAACTCTGGGAGATGCTTCAAGAGAAATCAGGGCTTTGAGATTAATGCTCATAATTGGATTAGGAGAGATTGTAAAGTCACTGCTCACTCACTGGGAAAGGATATTAGGAGAGCATAACTCATGTCCAGAGGAGTGCAGGCTGCTGTACCCACCAGCTGAGGATAAGTCCTTACAGAAGCAAACAAACAGCTGAGATGCTTTCATTAAGGGTTGATAGTGATAGGACCAGGGGGAATGGTTTTAAACTGAGACAGGAGAGGTTTAGGTTGGATATTAGGATATTAGGTTGGATATTAGGAGGAAGTTTTTCACCCAGAGGGTGGTGAGGCACTGGAACAGGTTGCCCAGGGAGGCTGTGGATGCCCCATCCCTGCAGGCATTCAAGGCCAGGCTGGAGGTGGCTCTGGGCAGCCTGGTCTTCTAGTTGGCTACCCTGCACATAGCAGGGGTTGGAACTGGATGATTATTGTGGTCCTTTTCAACCCAGGCCATTCTATGATTAAAATAGAAAATTTCTTTTCTCCCACTGACTGACAGCCACCTTATGAGTGGCACTTGGTTAGCACATTGATGAGAGACTTGTTAATATCTTTCTTAATGTCTGTTGAAGTGTTTTTTCTTATGTTACACATCGTTAAAGCATCACTGAAGAATGACTCAAACATTGGGGGGGCTGCTCCGGAAGTAATGCCTCCTATTTTATTATATTGACACACAATGTCAGAAGTGGATGTTGGTGGGATGGCGGTAGAGACTGAACCTTCCCACCAACAATCCACGGCATTTATTACTGCGTGACAGATGGTAGCAGAGGTGTCTTCTGACCAAATGGTGCATGGCATGAAAATGCAGAGGGAATAAATTTGTGCCATTGAAGACCCCAGTGCAGAAAAAAATGGCACCCACTGGCATTCATCGATGCTGAACGTTTCTGGAGACCAACCAGGGGACGTGGCACAGTGAGATGGTGAGTGGTGAAACATCGTGCAATGTAAGTCACCTCGGTCGGTGCAGGTTTTTACAAGCATGGCATGCAGCTCTTGTTCATTGCTGGTACATGAAAATGCACAGCTTGTGGTGATGACTGTGTTGAAAAAGGGTGTTTTCTAGCTGAGAATTCACTCTGCCAGATAGTGCCATTGTGCTCTTTGTGGCTGTTGCAGTTTCCCTGGAAATAAACAGAAAGCATTGCTTTCAGAGTGACCTATGTACAAAGTCATCTCTTGGTAGTGTAGGGCAACTTCAGTTACAGATCACAGAACCAGTGAAAGTCAGAAAGAGAGCAAGTAGGAAACAGCATTATGATTTCGGTCTCAGCCCATCGCTCCCACAGGAACTTCTGCTTTTCTCAGTCAGTAGCCTCAAGGTATCAGGCTATAGCTGAAGTGGTAGCTGACATTTTCATGGGCACTTTTTATCTAAGCAGTGTTTGAGCTGGTTGAGCCCCACCTGTGAGGTGAAACTGGGCCAGATGCTCATGCCTCCTGTTGACTGATCTGCTATAAAGCTATCCCAGCTTTGATCTCATTTTTGGCAAGCAACGGTTGCTTTTTAGCTGCCCGAGCATGAGCAATGCTGTAGAACTGCATTTTTAAAAATAAGAACAATGCCTTCCTCTCAGTTTCCTCATTTTGTTTGTGGGTTTAATCTTTAATGCAGCCTATGAGAAAATCAGCTTAAATTAAGGTAAAGTGCAAAGTTGTGCAGCTGATGGGCAGCATCCCTGCATCCTTCCGTAGTGCATAAGGGACTTCAGGCGTGGGCACCTGTCACTGTGTGCTTTAGGACCTCAGCCTGCACTCATTCCAGGGACAGGGCTCTTATTCAGGCCAATATGGGCATGGGGACACACTCAGTTTTCAGTTATGGTAAACCTTGGAGGAGGTGGCTGCTTGGTGCTGAGCCCTGGTTGCTCGGCCCAGTGGAAATGGAGGCATTTGTTTGGCTGGGAGCATTTTGCAGCAACATAACCATGAGAACTGTGCTCACAAATCCTTTTTTTATAGCTGTTCAGTAGCATCTTCACCCTGGGCTGCTCACATGATGTCGCGTTTTGGCTCTGGCTACGTAGTGTCCCTTTATGCATGGTAAATGGAATGTTGTTGACTTGTGTGCAAGATGTTGCATCACTTTACCTTCCTAGCCCAGGCTGAAAGGCGCTGGTTGGTGCCAGCACTGCTCTGTGAGCTCCTCCAAAGAGTCAACTTGGCACAGCTGCTATTGAAATGGATTTCACAGAGATCTGTGTGGGCCAAGCTGCAGCCATTGTGCTTTTGTAGATCTGTGAGCAGCATTTCCCTCAAGTCCTGCCATGCAGACCTCTTCTTTTGGCAGTGTTAGAAACAGTTGCAGTGTTATCTGGCAATCCTTCTGTCCCCCTGTTCCTAGGGCCACCTCTGGCCACAGTCAGCAGGGTTACAGGAGACAGTTACTGCTCCTCTGCCTTTGCTGTTATCTAGTGTGTGGAACCAACCTGTATAAGAGCATCCACAAGCCCAACTGTACCTATGAAATTTAACTTACTCTTCCTTGTTTCCCTGACCAACAACCAGAACATCCCAGTCCATGCTGGGGGAAAACAACCAGGTGAATCTGCTCCTTGCTGGGAGCAGTCGTCAAATCAGTAAGGTTGGAAAAGACCACCACGATCCTCTGGTCCAACCACCAACCCATCCCCACCATTGCTGGCCCTACCAGCAATGCCTCGTTCAGAGCTGTGATTTTTAGCTGAACTGACAGACATGGGCTGACCTCTCAGAGGGTGGATCAGCTTCATCCCACCAGTGCTGCTTCTACCTACAGTCACTTGGGGCAATTTGTTTTTCTTCTGTGGGTTTCTGTCTGAGAGCAGCTGCCACGTGACCAGGTTCTGATCAGAGTGGTGATGTGTTGGCTGGGGGGTGGTGGGGTCACCATCCTTTGGAGGTGCTTCAGAGCAGTGAGGATGTGGCACTGAGGGGATGTGGTGATGGGCATGGTGGGGTTAGCTGGATTTGGGGATCTGAGAGGTCTTTTCCAAGATGAATGATTTTATGACCTTAGACAAAAGCTATTTCACGGGAAATAATGCAGAGGATATATCCCGTGGTGAGTAGGAGCCTTACAGTGTTTAAAAGGCCCCAAGGGGAAATGAAATCCAAAATTTCCCATTGAATAAAAAGGCAAAGTGGGTCATTTTCGTGGGGTTTTTTTGTTTGGTTTTTTTTTTTTCCATTTTTTTAATCTTCCCACAAATGAAGCTGTACAGCGATCATCAACCCTTGCAGCTTCACCCGCCCCATCCTGGGCTGCAGAGCCACCATAGTGCAAGACATGCAGAGCTGCAGCAGCCACGTGTGACAGGAGCTGGGAGGTCTCTGACCCCTGTGACCAGCAGGGTGGTCAAGGATTTTTCCAGCCAGGCTCCAGCCCTGTGCTTGTCACAGGTCCCATAGCGTGTTGCTCTGTGATGCTGTCCCTGGGCTGTTAGCAGCTGGCCTGCAGCCAAGCAGAACAACACCAGCGAATTAGCTGGAACCAGTGGGTTTCCACAAAACCCTTCCGTTTGCACAAAGCAGCATTCTCCCAGCAGAATCCATCCAGCTCGTGGCAGGAAAATCCCTCCGCTGCTGGTGTGGGGCTGTTCACTATATCCCACGTGTGCAATGTACTTGTTTTGCTGTCTGGGAGGGGATGTCGAGCCAGATTTCTGCAGTGGGCAGTGAGCAAGTGGTGTTTCTTCCTCTTCCTTTTTCTTCATGTGCATCCTATGCACAGAATGCTCCCAGGCAGGCTGCTTGGATGCGACTGCTTGAAACTCTCTCTCTAGAACAGGAACATATGCGAAGCTTTTCCTTTCATTTTCCTGCTCCGGTTTTCTTTTTTTACAGCTGGTAAATACCTTCTCCTTACGCGTTACCTGGCTCAGAGGAAAATCCAGAGCTGCTGCGGTAAGCTGTGATCGGCACTAAATATCACTCAGCTGCCATTAAGCTAATGGGAGTGGGAGAGGGGTGTCTGCTTTTCTGTGCTGCTGTGCTCTGTTGAAACTCAACATGCCTTTGCAGATGTAGAACAGATTAATGATTTGTGTTTGCCGGTGCTCCTGTGTGAATTGTTTGGAAAAGTTTCCACATACTTCTCACTCTTTTTAGTGGAAACAATGTTTGTGTCCTTGAAATAACTTTGGCTGCTCAGAGAGCTGAAGGTGGTGCTGGCATCGTGGGTTGAAGATGGGCACAATTATACCTTTTGGTATTTACACCACTGCTGCTGGAAGCATCCCATCCCCTGTGAGCTATTCCCGACTCCTTCCTGTGCTCATTCCCATTATATGCTCTCATTATATGGGAATCTTCAAATAGCTTTTAATATAATTAACAGTATCTAGGCTTGTCCTAATTGAAGGTGTGCTCGCTAGGAGTGCTGTCAGCTGACACTGCTGAGGTTTCTGTTCTTGGACAAGTAGATTTTCTGGATTAATGCTTGCTCTTTTGGGTGCAGGGAGGTGAGTGCCAATTTATTGACATCTGCAGAGGGCAGATCTATCCAGCAATTTTTTGGTGCTTTCTTTATTATCATTATTATGTAAAGAACTGTTTTTGTATGTTTTGCACTGGGCCAAACTTCTGCCTATGTTGAAACACTCAGCAAAAGCGTATTCTGACACCCGTGTGTGAGGTGCAGTGATTCGGGCTGCTGGTGGCAATGGCATCTCTGGTCACCATTTGGGATATGAAGAGACACAGATAGCAGATCAGCACTCTGCTCCCTCCAAAAGCCCCAGAGATGCAGGAAAACCACCTCTCCCAAGGGCAGATCTGTATCCCCAGGGATGCAGAGCTCGGGGATGAAAAGCCAAGCTGTGATACTGGTGGGACCTTGCAAGGTTAGGGCAGTAATAGCTGAGTCCTGTGCATATAGCTCCCACTGCACAGTGGTGGTGTTGGGAGGCTGAGAGGCTCTGTTTTTGTAACGTCTCCTTTTAAAGTTTATATAATTCTCAAGCAACCCGAGAGCAAGACTGGAACTAATTAGTGCTGTCTTGGGAAGTGTGGTGCGTTGAGCTAGAAAGAACAAAAAATGCAAAGACAATGCAAATCTGCTTCTGACGTTGAACACTGATGGGGAAATATTAAGCAGGAGGGAAGTGGGGATACAGTGTGACACCGGGCAGCCATTGTACATACAATGGGCTGAGTGTGGGCTCAGCCATCCTTGGGCCAAATTGGTCCTGAGTATGGGGCAGGATGGGATGATTCCCCCAGTAATTAGCAATAGAATGCTCTTGGAAGTCTGGCTGCTGATTATCATGTGTGCTGCTCCCAGCTAGTGGAGAGAGGCTTCTATGGAGAGTACTGGTTTGCCCTGGGAACCAGGTTGGCTGATCCCACCTCACAGACAGCAAATTGTAGCCCCATGTTGAAAAGCTGCTGCTCCTTAACACCAGGCTGGGGGGTCTTTTATTGTCTAGCTTAAAAGAAGCAAGTAACTGGATCATATACTGTTTATACTGGATAAACAAGAATTCAAGCAGGGAAAGCTCATAACCCCTCCTGGCCTATAAATGTCTCCCAGGGTGGCTGCAGAGAGCTGGCCCAGAGGCAAGAGGAGCTTTGCTGGGTGTCTGAGATTGTGTTTTCTGAATATTTATCGTTGGAGGGTCCTGGCACTGGGCTAAGCCTTCTTCAAGGCAGCCATCACAGGGAGCATGCTGTGCTGGGGTCAGGAAGTGCAGCTCAGACTGGGTTCAGCTCCATCAGCACTGTGCACAGATTGCAGGCAGACTCCTTGCACCTGAAGGGACCTCCAGGTGAGCTACAGTCGCAGCTGTAAGGCTGGAAGGCTTTGGACTTTCCTAAGGTACCTCTTGATGAGCCCTGCTTAGTTTCCTCCACACACCCATTGCCCAGCTGCAGCCTTGTCCCCTCATCTCCTGCTGAGAGATATGACAGAGCCTTCCAGTTCCAAAATGAATTTGTTATTTCTTTTGCATTTTGTTTCATCTCTCCTTTCTCCCTGGCTATCTTTGCCATCGGCCCGTTTCTACGTGTTGCTCTGCCAGCTCCTCTATCTCAGTGCTTCTCCTCACTTCCCGGTGTGTCTGCAGGCAGGCAGAGCTCTGGCATGCTGGGCTGCACTCCCAGTCCCCTTCCATCCCGCAGCCACCTGTGCTCTTCTCTCTGCTCTGCAAAAATCACAGCCCCCAGCTATGCCAGACCCTGGGCTGTATAACACAGACACATTCAAACAGCTGCCACTCCTTCCTCGAGATGTCCAAAGCAGGGATAGTCCAGTCAGAAGCCATCAGCAGACAGACAAGGAAAACAGGCCTGCACTCAGCACAAGGGTAAATATTGACAGTGGATGCTGCTGGAGAGCTCCTTTTCTTACTTCCCGCAGTCCTGTGGAAGCCACAAGAGTTTGTTTATCAGTGCAAAGGAGAGATCTTTTTTGCAACATCCAGCCTCATGCTCCTCTATCCCAGCACGTCTCCCCTGTGCCCCACTCTGTGCAATTCCCATTGCTTTCCTGGAGGCGACAGGTCTGCTTTGCATCGCTGATCCTCTTATTCTGGCACCCTGGAAAGAGCTCTACTAAAGCAAGTTGTGCAACTCGCCTCCCTGAAGCATGAGGCAATTAAGAGGCTTTTATAAGTCATTGATTTTCCTTCCCACTGGCAATTGCAGAACCATTGCTTTCAATCAGATGAGACGCGCTGTTCGATACCCAAACGTTCTGCTCATCGCTGGAGCCTTTTATTTTTTATTTCGTGCCATGGGAAGCGACTTATTAACGTGGATCTGTATTGAAAACTTGAAAGCTTTTATTCTGAGCCATGAGATCCCAGTGCTTTAACACAGGGAGGCAGAGGATCGTCTGACAAGCCCAATTTGGCACAACAGGGATGAGACTGCATCATATGTTTCAACCAGAAAGCACTTAAGCACTTGGCCCATTTATCTGCCTTGTCTCCAGCAATGAGATCTTTGCTGACTGCCTTGCTGTTTGCAATGAGAGGTCTTCCTTTATTTCCTCAAACAAAAATGGGTTTGTACAGAACACGCGTGCAGGGCTGCTGGTGAGCATCCTGGTGCCACAGCGTCTGCTGTGATGCCATGTTTTGGTTTTGGGATGAAAGCCATGTCATCATTGCACTGATGTGGTGGTTGTTGGTGAGCAGTGCTGTGCAGAGCCCAGGATATTTCAGGTTTTCAGCATCTCCCACTGCCCTGCTAGGGAGGGGGCACAGAGCCAGGGTGGCTGGCCCAAGCTGCCCAAAGGAGCATCCCATGTCGTATGGCATCACTGAGAAACCACAAAACCAGAAACTGCTGGGCATTGGATGGTGGCTGGCAAGCAATTGCATTGAGCATCACTTCTAATATATATATATATGTAACTTTATATATGCTCTTTCCCAGTGCATTGCTTCATTTGGATGGGAGCATGCTGAGCTCTCTGCCCATAGAGCTGCAGATAAATGCAGGGCCACCTCACACTGTGCAGGCAGCACCTTGGCTCTGTATTGCTGCAAAGAGGACAAGTTTACCAGTGCCACAGTGCACAAAGGAAAAGAGAAACGTCCTGAAGTTGCAGAGGGGGCCAATTTGAGCAGCAGGTTTGTGCAGATGCCTTTCAGTGCTGCTGCTCCTCCCTGCGTGTTCCAGCACTGCTGAGCTGGGGCCAAGCCAGCGGCTGTGTCGGAGCCTCTGCTATTGCTTTTTTCCAACCTAATTTTCTCAGGAACTGACCCAGTTCTGGCATTTTGGGAACTGGCATTCTCCCTGCTGGTGAATACTTCTCATCTGTTTCAAATGATCAGTCCGGTGTGACCTTTTCTGCTAAAATAGCTTACACAATGAAAACGCATCAGTGTTAAATTCTAACGTTGCATAACTGAAAGCAAGACCGTGCATTTACCAGCAGGAAGGAGGCTTTTTTCCCCTCGCTTTGTAGGAACTGAGAAGGAAACATCTAGAGTTGTGTGACTGCAATGAGTGGGAAACCTCCCCAAAGCTCCCATCTCCTCCCTACAGTATCAAAGGGGTTGTACCACCCACTGCTGCTTTTCATTGCATCAGAAAGAAGAAAAGGTGTAATTCAGCAGTGGGGCTGTGGCCAACCGTGAGCAAGACTTCATAGTCTTCGGGGCCATTTCCCAGTTCAGGACCAGGCATCTTGCTGTGTGTGCTCACTGCAGAATGGGGAGGATCCTATCTTTGCTGCTTTGGAACATTCCCAGCTGGGCAGCAATTCCAACAGTGATACCATCAGCCCTGCACAAGTGTTTTGAGGGTTGTTTTCCTACCAAGAATCACTCCTCCTGTTCCTGGTGCTGTTGCTCCTTTTCCTTAGGATGATTTCATCATTTCTCAATATTTCTAAATTTGCTGCAGGAAGATGTGTGCTCTGGCCCAGGGCTTGTCAGGGCAGCTCTGCATTTGAAACATCATTTCTTGTCCCACCGGGAAGGGAGCTGAACCACCCACTTATTACTTGCCGTGACCTAGGTTGATCCCTCAGCACAGCAGCAGGAATCATAAGACTTCTGGTTTTTTTCCTCCTAGAGGACAGCAACGTGTATTTGGCAGCAGAGCTTTTACAAGGGGGCAAATCAAGGGTGGTGGTGGTAGCTGTTCCTTGTAAAGATGTGCAGGGCTGCACCTTTGGTGAGGTGCAAGAGGGGCTGAGATGTGGAAGTGGTGCTGCACTGGCACAGCTGCCCAGAGGGTGGTGGGGTCACCATCCTTGGAGGTTCTCCAGAACCACGGGATGTGGCACTGAGGGATGTGGTCATGACCATGGTGGGGTGGGCTGGGGTTGAACTTGGAGGATCTCAGCAGTCTTTTCCAACCTGAATGATTCAGGGCTGCCCTTGCAGGATGGCAGTTGGACCACATGTGCTCTGCCTGGGGATGATGCTTGTAGGTGCTGGGGACAGGCTGTACTGTACAAAAAACACTGTGCAGTTTGTTTTTTGTTTTAATGAGTCACTAAGATATTTGAAACGTACTTCTGACCTACCGAGTTCAGTTAGCACCTACACTTCATAAATCATAGCAGTGTCCTGCCAGCTGCTGGCTTAATGAGGCCCCTGACTGCGTGGGAAATGCTATGACACTGCAAAGTGATATCTGATCCCTGAAGTGAACAGACTGAGCTCTTTAAAAACCTCCACTGCTGCAAGAAATGCAAAGTTCTGAGCAGAGCAGCCTCGGGGCTGCAAGGAGCTCAGCGTTCAGAGGCAGAGGTCCAAGTAAGAGCACTTCCCTTGTATGAAATCTTTCTGTGCAACCCATCTGTTTTTCTTTGCCTTGTGAAAAAGTGTGGATGCGTTTGAATTAAGCACCATTGGAAACCGAAAAAAAAATCTTCCTCCACTTGGACTCATGCTCAGTGCTTTGGATGCTGCAATCCATCAGAAATGAGCTATGTCTGCTGTCTTCCCAGCTCTAAAGCCAGCTCTCATTACCGTAGTACCTTTGTGCTGAACTGTGAGAGCTTTCAGAGGCAGAGGCTGACGCCTACATCCCATGGTAGGGTTGGCAAGGGTACAAGCTCACCTATTTGGTATCCTACAAGCTAATTCCAGTCATTTGTTCTGGCAGGAGCTCGTTCTCTCTTGTTTCAGAGTAAAAGAGAAACATGACCAGCACTATTTACAGGCGTGTGGAGCACTTGGGAGGGTTTGGTGTTTGTTTGAGTTGAAAATTAGCTGATGAAACTGCTGTGTATTTTTGAGTGCTGCCATGTGTTCCCAGTTAAGATTTCTGCTTAATTCAAGCTCCCTCCCTCTTCTCCTCCAGCGCGCCCTGATCCTCTTCTCTGTGTTCTGTGGGATGGAGTTGGGGTTGGCTGGGATTTCCCAAGCTCAGACCCCCAGATACGGGCAGTGGCTGGGGGTGAGGAGTGGGCATGGCCAAGGGCTGCCCCAGGGCTGCCATCAAAAAGGGGTACGTGGGCTGCAGCCTAAACAGCTGTTGGCTGTGCTGCGTGCTCTGTGCTTTGCTTGTGTGCATCTCTACTTTTAGCTAATCTGTTCCTACGCTTGTACCTGTATGTAAAAGTTAAAGAGATACATGTAAGTCTCCCCAGTAGTAATGCCTTCTATTTATTTCCATGGAAACAGCAACAGACACAAAGAGCACAATAACACTGTTTGGTAGAGCACGTTGTCAGCGACAAACCACTCCTTATTAACTTAATACCTTAATAACCTAAATAGCCACTGCTATTAGTTAGGTGTTTTTGTCAGTGATGAAGAAGAGCTGTATGCTGCACTTATAAGCACCTGCACAAGCAGAGGTCATAGTCCCATAGTCACTGTGCCACTGCTGGAACATACCATGCACCTCTCACTGTGCCACATCCACTGGTTGGTTGGGTGCCATAAACATTCATCAGGTGATGAGGAATATCAATGGGTGCTGTTTTTTTCCATGTGTGGAGGTTCATCCTTTGCTGCAATCCCACCAACATCTGCCTCTGACATTGTGGGCTGATGTCACAAAATAGGAGGCATTACTTTCAGAGCAGCCCGGTTCAGAGGGGCTGAGTGATGTCTGTGTGTTGGAGAAGGGTGTTCTGGTTTGGGGGTTTCTAATGGGAATGTCTCTACACGGAGGTGCTGTTGAGAGCTGTGTGCTGTCCCCCAGCTCCTTCCCCAGAGCCGTGCCGTGCACAGCCTGCTGACTGCTGATTGACTTTCATTTGCAGAATGCTCTTAGCGAGCCAGAAACAATTTCAAACAAAGCCAAAATCTCAACCATGTGTTGTCATCCCCAGAATTACACTCATCAGGGAAGAGGAAAAAAAAAAAATAATACAGAAAAACCCCTCTGGGAAATGATGAATCAGTAAACAAGTAAAAGGCGATTGTCATCTGTGTGCGTCCTGCAGAGGGAATTCCACGGCCCCACTGCAGTGATAGAAGCCTTTCACCACCACGATGCTGCACCAAAGGGCTCCTCCAGTGCTGGCAATGGCTTTGCAGCCCATCTCCCTCCTCTCCCTGGTGTTGGCGTGGGGCTGCGTGGCCTCTTCCTCCCCCTGGCATACAGCAGGTAAGTCCACTGGCAGCCACCTGGGCTTGGGATGGTGCTGGGCTCTGTGTGGTTTCGTTATGGCAAGGGGTGGGTTTGTGAATGGGCAGTTAACACGTGGTGTGTTCAGTGGGATGTTTTCGCAAGTGGCTTCAAAGGGAACAGAAAGACAGAAAGAACTGTCAGCAAAGTGTTAATGTAAGGCTGGCATTTACAGACACATATGGGTACATAATGATCCCAGGTGTGTGTGCCGGGGGAGGGGGTAAAACACAGGGTTTATTCATAATGTAGGAAGTGCTACTCGGTGAGCTGTTGGCCTCGGCAATGGTATCTGAAGCACTAACGCGGGCACTGCCCTTCAAACAGGCTCCCTGCACGATGCTGGGATGCAGCCATCCCGTGTGCTGGTGGCTGCTGCAGTGCACTGCTTTGTTGCCATGAAGGTGATGCTGTAGTGAGAGCCAACAGCACCCAGCTGCGGGATGGGGTGACTGTGCCGTGAGATGGCTGTGTGATGGGGTGGCTGTGTGATGGAATGGCTGCAGAATGGGATGGCTGTGCAGTGGGGTAGTGGTGCACTGGGTTACCTGTAGGACCGGGGTGGCTACGGGGCAGACTGGCTGTGGGATGAGATGACTGTATGATGGGATGGCTGTGCAATGAGATGGCTGTTTGATGGGGTGGCTGCAGGATGGAGTGGCTGCAGAGTTGTCCAGCACATCAGGATGTGATTCAGCAAATTCAGTGCAAATTGTGTCCAGAAGAAAGGAGTTCTGCAGGAAACACCTAGGAGCAGCTTTCATTTCAAAGCTGGATGACACAGTCCTATGTCCTGCATGGAGAATGAGTGAGTGAGACTTGTGCCTTCTGGAATAGAGTCATATTGAATCATTAAGGTTGGAAAAGATTGCTAAGATCATCTAGACAAGATCATCTAAGAATGTAACAACGAGAAACTCCACAAGAGGCAGCGCTGATGTTTAAAAAGGAGTTGAGTTCTGGAATGCAACATCCAGAAAGCAACATCCCAAAACAAAGCTTTTTCATTCTGTCTGAACTTTAAATTATTGTCAAAATTTCTTTTGGAAAAATTACTTGCTATTGTTTCAAAAAGGTATGGCTGGGCAGAAAAAGATCAGGGATGGAACCAAATTTCAGAATGTTATTGTTTCTGGAGAGACAGAAATTCCACTTTGAACAAATCCAGGGCTCTCTTGGAAGTTATGTCTGGATTCCCAAACAAAGGCAAGTTGCTCTGTTTGCACAGCAGTGAGAACAACCTCTGTCCATGCAGGAGAAGGCTCCCAGCCCTGCCCACTACAAGGGCCATGTCCCACTGGTCCTGGAGCTGCCACAGTCCCACTGCTGCCCTCTGAACCCTCTGTGCTGGGCTCAGAGCTGCTGGGAGGCAAAACATTGTACTTGTTATATAAAAATGCATCAAAGCTCATTGTTTTCCTCCAAATCATTAGAATCTATTGTTCCTTACCCCAGCACCTCCCTGTGTATGTTAAGGTGGTATCTGACATTGACACCTAACAACAGCTGGTCTCTCAGACCGAAGCTTCACGTGCTGGAAAGTGTGGGAGCTGAAGACTGCAGTGGTCATCACTGGGAGGGCTTCCTCAGAAGTAATCAATGATGTTCTCTGCCAACTTTCTAAAGAGGGCACATATGGTGGCAGTGCTGGACTGACCCGGCCAAAGGTGGACTCCAAAGCACCGTGAAGAAAACACATCATGCCATGAACATGGAGGCACCCAAATGGGTAATACCACCTCCAGACAGTGTATGCAGAGAGAAAACCACCTGTTACATATGTTGACTTTGACCTGATAAAACAGAATGAGCTCGATGGCTTTCATTGTGTGAACGACGTTCTTCAGGCAGAGCTTAGAGGCAGCGTCTTAGTAACCCCAAGCAAACAGAAGACTTGAAAGGTCATGGTGGCACCATGGTATTATCTAGAACACCTCTAAAGAGATTGACAAAGATACTGTGGCATTCTTATGCCTCTTTGATGCCCTTTGAGTGGGCAGGAAGAGAGCTTGTGTGTGTATGGTTGAGGGCAGGTGGTTACACACACAGGACTGGATCTGAACAGCTGTGTTCCCCTTTACACCCACAGCATGTTTAATTTCATCACGTTTATTGGGTTTTTTTGTTTGTTTGTTTTTGAGGTTGTTGCTAATTTGAATCAACACCCCTTTTACTCCCTGCTTTGTTCCCCAATGCAGTTGCTCCCCCCCTAGACCTTCAGATCACCGATCCTGGGCTCTTAGGTTCTCTCGATATAGAGTGGAAACCTCCACCCAACATACAGACCTCCAATGAATGCACAGTGAAATACAAGTGTGAATACCGTAACACCGGCGACAGAGAATGGAAGGTGAGAGAACGCACAGCTTTATCCTCTTAGATCCCTGTTGCTCCTTTATTTCCTGCACACGTTTATACCTGCATTTAAAGCACCAGCAGGACTGGTAAAGCAGCACTTCTAAGTGCCATTCCACAGGATCACTTCTTGGAAGTGTTTCCCAAAGAGGAGTGTGCTCTGCAATTCCTCAGCAGCAGCAGTCAGAGTTGGAAAAGGGCTGTTTCTGTCAGAAGTGTGCTGCTTGCTGCCAAAAATAATCCACCAATATCCAATGTCATCCCTTGTCATAAAAGGCGCTGCGTGTTTTAGAACGTCTTTGTTTACATGGTCTTGAACTCAGGCAGTGTCACATCCTTAGGGATGTAGCATGGTAAACAAATATGAGATTAAGTCCTATTAATTATCCTAATGGTTAAACATTCGCTATATTCAGAAGAGTGTTATTAATCAGTGTTTCCTTCTGTGTTGTAGATAAGTTTGATTCCAGCTCAGCTCTGTGATAAGATAGTCAGCCTTAGCTTGCAGATGTATAGATGTAGGGTTGCCAGAATGCTGTGGGAGCTTTTAGGAGAGGAAAGCTGCCAGAGGGGTTGGAGGGAAGAGGAGAAACCCTCTGTGTGGTTGGTGCAAGGTACTGGGGAGCACTGAGAGATATGAAAAGGATATGTGCAGATTCCTGCCTTGTGTTTGTAACTGCTCTTTAATAAGGGGGAAAAAAAAACGAAACAAAACAAAAAACCAAACACGTCAGAATTCCCCAGGTCATAATCAAAGTGTCTGCAAGGCAGAGCCAAAAGGGAGGAAACAGCACGGCTTGTACCTTGCAAAAATGCTGGATAAGATCACAAAGAAACATTGACTTTAAAAAACAACCCATGGGGCCATCGAGGAATAACCCATCATCAGCAATGTCTGGCAGAAGGACGTGGCTCAGCAGGGCTCTGACACTCTGGGACTGCTGACCATAGCCTGACTGTGGGCTGCAGTTCCTCTTGCAGCAAACACGTTGACTCTGCAGCCCATCATTTCTGTCCTGGCTGGGTCTGTGCAACCCTTTCTCCCTCTTCATTTGCTGCAACTTCCCCCAGCTTACTTTTGTCCTATATAAAAGAAGGGAGATGGAGCCTTCTCCCAGCCCTCATCCTCAGTCTGGGTTTCCTTTTTCTGGGGTAGAAGGGAGGATTCACAGCCAGTGAGGATGGGCAGCCCAAGCAGAAGCACTGGGCTGTACAAGTGCTGGAATAGCATTGGGCAGGAGAAGCAGGATAGAAATGAAAAGGAAGATGAAAGCACCCAGGTGAGCCTACCAGCAGCCATGGTGCAATGGTGGCTAACTCTTGAGCTCAGCAACAAGAGGTGCTTAACAAATCTGTCTTTCAACCAGGTTATTTTTACTAAGAAACTAAAACTCAGAGTTGGATTTGACCTCAGCAGGACTGCTGAAGTGAAGGTCCAGACCCTGCTCAAAGGATGGTGTACCAACGACGTGGAAGTTCAGAGTGAATGGGTTTATGCCACCTTTCGGGTCCCACTGCAAGGTTAGGAGCAGCCTTCCTACTTTTTGACTCCACTTTTTTTGTCTTGACTGAGGCACACTACTGTTCAAAGCTGTACCATGATATTTCTGGCTGACGCTTGGCTACATAATCATTGTCTTCTTCTCATTTGGCAGGGAAACTGGAATCTGAGGTTCAGAATTTTCATTGCGTCTATCATGACTGGGAATACCTCAAGTGCACGTGGCAACCAGGTCTCCTTGCTCCTCGTGGTGTAAATTATGGACTATACTATTGGTATGTATCAGCAAAATAGGATGATATCCAGCCAGCAATTGAGTGAACCACTCTTGGAATCCCTCAAGCATACTTACATGCCATGGAAAGTGCCATGGGGGTAGTAATAATGCATGTTTCTCAGTTAATTCTATTGTTTTTTTAACATTTTTTTTTTTCTGCAAGAAAAACAAAGCCAGAATTATGCGTTTTGGCCAATATAACCTGTGCTTCATTTCCTGTGATGTCGTGGTGAGAATGATGGGCCATTGGGTTTTGTGACTTCAGGCTGTTTGTGGAGAAAAGCATAGCTGCAGCTATTTAAAAATAGTTTCTGTGTGGCTCTTGGAAATATTCTTCAAAGCAAAAACACCAAATTTACAAACTACTTGGAGAAAACCATGGAAAATTTCATTATTTGTTACTGAAAACAAACCAACCCCAATTCCACAAAAAAAGACACCAACAAACCTGCTGTTATTTAACTGCCTGTAACCAAAGCAGCATTTGGATCTTAGTCCTGTTTTATAAGAAGGATGGGTGGAAACACAGCCTTGTCCTTTGATCCCTGGGAGTTAACTTTCACAGTGCTACCATATGATTTCTTCCCCCACGTAATGACGTGCTTTGCAGAGAGACTTTCATTAGGAGCAGAGTACGGAGGCCAGACCCAGCTCTGCCTCAATGGCAACAACCCAACAAGAGTCACTTAAGGCAATGGGAAGCCCCACGTGGCATTACCAGCATGGGGACTGTAACCTCCAGAGCCAGGAGGTGGTTTGGGTTGCTTTTACACAATCACTACTGATCCCTCGGGTTTCCATTACAATCAGCTGTTTTTTCCCCTCCTCCCCACACTTTTCCCATAGCAGGAAAGATGCACAACGCTGTGCTTTGATGGGTGGGGCAGGCAGGACAAAAGGGATGCTCATGGTTTAAGTCCATTTGCCCTATCTGATTGTCCTTTAAAAAAAAAAAAAAAATTAGAAAAAGGCTTTACCCCAAACTAATTTCTATTGCTTTGATTGCCTTTTTTTTAATGTTTTCCTGTTAGGTATGAGGGCCTGGAGCACGCAGTGCAGTGTGACAACTATATCCAGGATCGTGGTATAAACGTGGGCTGCATGCTGCAAAACCTGAGCCAGGCAGAATACAAAGACCTGAGCATCTGTGTCAATGGGTCTGTGGCAGCCACCTCACTGAGGCCTCTGTATGCCACCCTGCGCCTTCACAACCTGGGTAAGGCTGGTGGGAGGGCAGCAGGGCTTGGGGGACCTGCATGGCCACTGAAGGCCCATGGCTTGCATGAGGGGCTCAAACTAATGTGTGCTCTTGCAAATGGAGAAGGGGACGTGCATTGCTGGACTTGATTCTCCAATAGTGTTTTCAGGAGGTGATGCTGCTCAGTGCTCAGGTCACTAGGTGCTGCTGAGTGCCTTGCTTGGCATTGGGTGACTTCACATCAGTGGGCTGCTGGGCAGAGAGCAGAGCAGCTATGGGTTTTTTGGACCCAGCAGCACAATTGCAGACGTGGCTTGATTTCCTCCTGCTGGAATTGAAGCCACTGCTCTGCTTCTGCAAGCACAGGAGAGCTCTGCAGGCATTGCTGCTGAAAGCAAGCCAGGGGCAGGGGAGAGTCAAGTGAAAGGTGCAGTGTGGACTGCCAGAGCCATGGGAACAAAAAGCAAAGGTGGGTTTCAAGCCCCCCACACCCTACTACAAATGGGGAAACAAAGCAAAGTGCAGCTAAAGACACAGTCTGATGCACATGCTAGCTCTTTGCTATGGGCACTTCCTGTGCTGATGCATTCCACTGAATCATATGAACCCTTAATGGCCATCTGGTCCAACTCCTGCACTGAACAGGAACAGCCACAGCTCCATTAGGTTCTTGGAGCAACATTTACCCACATGTAAGTGCCAGGGGATAAATGGGTTACCCTTTTGGGTTAATTAGCAGGATTTCTGGATTCTATTAGGGATGTCGTGTTGTCCTATGTGCCTTTGGGCACATGGCATAAAGAATGCAGTGTCAGGACAACACAATGATGCATTGCAGGGGTCCAGGCTGCCCTGTGAGAACAGCGTGCCAAACACATCATTTGGCCATCAGCCCTGTCTGCACATCCAGATAAAAACAAGCAACCCAGCCTCCAAGTGGAGCTTTTGCTCCTGCAGCATCATGGCAGTCCAAAACCCCATCAAACCCCGTCAGTGGGAGCATGGGACAAAGCCTGGTGGTGATAACCCAAAGCCATTCTCACCAGGACCTGGTCGGTGGCACCTCCTGACTTTTTCTTCTCTTTCCTCCCCCAGCCAAGCCCTCACCCCCCCAGCAGCTGGTGGTCTCCATGTCTGCAGCTGAAGAGCTCCGCGTGGTGTGGAGCCCACCTGGTGGCCAAACACCCCCCCAGTGCCTGGAGTACGAGGTGCAGCTGGCAGAGGAGCAGAGGGAGGCCAAGGCTGCCTGGGCGGTAGGGAGCACACAGGGCTGCAAGCAGCCTGCTGTGGGATGGGGAGGTGGGGGCCTGTCTGTGTGTATATATGGACTCTATGTGGTTTGGTTTGGTTTGGTTTGTTTCCTTGAATCTGGTAGCACAACATGATCCAGTGAAAGGGTGAAGGCTCAGCGCTCCAGAGAAGCGACCTGGCACACAGCATATGTTGATGCATAGGGCTTTTTCCTTCTGTGTTATTCAGCGATGGTTTTAACAGCAAGAATCATTCAGTTGTAGGGGATGGGTGGAGGAAACATTCTTTAAGTGTCGCATTCTACACATGAATCTCCATAGCTAGCTTCACAAATGATCAAACACAAACAGTGACCATACACAGAGGGGCCCCATGAGTGTCTGTGCTTTCAGGAGGCTCAGCTCCATAATAATTACTGGTACTGGATGGTCCAAAGCTGTTAAGAAACCATTTCAAACTCCCAAAATGTAATCCAAGGATTTGCAAAGCTTGTTCAGCAGCATCAGGCCATGCCAGAGAGTTACCTCTGGCTGCTCAGAACTCCTCACTGCTCTCTGTTTTCTTTTTCAGTCCATGTCCACTCAAGTGGAAACTGCTTTCACCATCTCCAGAGCAAATCAGAGCCGTGTTTCTTGTGTCCGTGTCAGAGGGAGAACAAACAGTTTCTGTGCTGATGAGGGCTTCTGGAGTGAATGGACACAGGAGTGCTTCTCTGGTAGGGAACCAACAGCCAACAGTTTTTGTCTGTAGTGAAAAAATTAATACACTTAGGGTAAGAAGTAAGAAGATTGAATGCATGGGGCCCAAGGTTTTAAAAAGCAATGCAACCTGTTCTGCAAGACAGGAACTTCTTATTTGTTATTATTTCTCTTTGCAGTAAGCAGAAAAGAAGTCAAGCAGCTATTTATCCTCATTCCAGTCATCCTGGGGTTGTCAAGTAGCCTCTTCATATTTACATTGATTGGCCAATGCAAGAAAAGGTAAGTGCTAGAGCAGCCTGTCCATGCAATGTGCTCTTAGGTCTCAGCCTACGGGTATAAATAAAACAGTATACAAGATACTAAGAGACAAGCATGTATCAACAAGATGAGCTATAATCAGATACTAAACAAGACATGTTATGTTGAGGAAACAGCTTTACAAGTGTGACTATTTCTGCCTCCCAACATGCCATAAGTAGCCAGACTGCTATTAAATGCAGCAGTTACTTGTTACACGAGTAAAGCAGAAGAAATAATGCCATTATTTTGCCCCAAAGTGTAGATGCTAGTGATAAACCTGTGGCAAACAAATGCTTCCTGCATTGGCACTGTGATGAGGCAATGTGTGATGGGGATGCCATCATCTTCCTTGGTACTGGCAGTGACCTTCTGTTCCCATTGCAGATCCCCAGCAGGAAAACCATTGCACACGTTTCTGGGATGCTAAGTGCACCCATGGATGCTGTGTTTGATGGGCTGCTCTCACATCATCCCAAGGACAGCCAAGAAGCCTGGAGCTTTCTAGGCCAGCGTGGGTCTCCCCTGTGCTGTGTGAGGCTGGCAGTCACAATCCAATCCTCAACAGGCCCAGGAAAACAGGGGAGGAGCTGTAAACTGACTGGAGCAAACTGTTTCTAATAACAAGGCAAAGGAGAAAAAGGAGGCGTGGAAATTGTGATGAATAAAGATAAATAGAATCCGCAGAGCAACACGTTATTTGTTTAGTAATTTATTTTAAGGATTCCATGAAGCTGTATAGCAGGGCATAGACTGAAGCTTGGTACCCAAACGCTGGGTACCAGGGCCTGCATGCATCTCCTCACCACTCCTTTCCTCCCTTCGCTGCTGTGCCTGAGCTAATTGCAATCGTTTCATTAACTGTTATGCCTCAGCTGCTGCAAAGCTGAAGTGGTGAGAGAGCGTGGGAGAAACTTTTGCTACAGCACTCCCAACCACTGGAAGGGATGTGGTTACGAGAAGTAGAAGGTTATTTTTGCACAGGCAGCAAGGGAACTCCTCCAAGAAGTGGGCACAGCTCCTGCCATTCAATGGAGCACCCTGGATGGCTCTCAGCACTGTGCACTCAGCTGGTAAAGTTGCTGATTGACATTTAAGGATGCCCCCCATGAGAATGATTAAAATGTAAATCCAAGACGTGCGCTACAGCTGGGTAGAACCCCAACCAAGATGCTGCTCTCCAAGCCTGCTTCTACTTTTTATTTATTTTTATTTCCTTTTATCGGAAAAGGGAACGAGCTCAAACCCCTATGTTTAGTTATGTTTCATTTCATCTGAACAACCCAGAAACCCCAACCTCTTGCAGGAGTGTTTATTCAAGATGGGAATTTCTTGTGAACAGAGGAAGCTCAGAGGGAAAATCAAGTTTGCATCAATCTGCCCTATAAAGAGATGAGGGAATCCAACCAGCCACAACACAGTGAGTGCTGCTTTACACATCCAAGTGCAAAATTATTCAATCCCTATCAGCTGCTTCCAATGCTATGTGGGTACCAACCCAGTGTTATCTGGGGATGCATCAAGGAAGGAAGGCACTAGAAAAAGAACCAACTGGTCTATGGACAGATTGGGAGAGAAAGGAAGCTTCTCAACTGCTGGTATTTAGGCAAGATGCAACTCTACCCTTCACTACCTCTGGGTGATGGAAGGGAGCAGCTCTTTGCATATTGCCCTGTGCAGAGTCCCCTTCCTTCCACGTCTGGTCTCCAGGCAGGATTTGATAGGACAAGAGAAACAGCGCTGCATCACATAGCTCAGACGTTTTGTTTAGCTTGCTCCTGAGGTCAAATTTGGGGTATCCATGGGACATCATAGCAGAGCAGGAGCACACCTGGATTTCCACCTCTGAGCCCAAGATGAGCAGAGATGTTCAGTCCCACTCATTCTGAGGTCTGCATGATAATTGCAGGAGCCACGAGACTTGGGCACATCCAGATAGATGCTATCCAGACTCTGTTTTTTCCAAACTGCCCTCAGAGCAACAGTTATTCCTTTTGTAACGACTAAAAGCACTGAAGAAAACTGTTGGAAAGAATCCCATTGAGGTTTCCTTGTTAATAGGAATACCTCACAGTCGGTCTCTGACATCTTGCCAGGCCCTTAAACTGTTTCAACACTGATGCATTGTGAAAGCCATCTGTGTGAAGGAGAGGCAAGAAAAGAGGCTGGTGCAGATGGAACTTCACCTGCTTTATCCCATGGGAATGCCAATGCACAAGCATTTGGCCATCCACACGTGGGTCTGCAGCTTATGCTCCCCTGGAACTTCTTCCTGCTACTGCATCCCATCCTGTGTGCTGATGCAGTTTGCTCTGCTCCATTACTGTGGCTAGTGGCAGCAGGCACAGCAGAGACCTCAGCAGAGCAAAGAGCCTTCTGCAGAATGAAAGCTCAGCTAGAACAGGAGAGAAACAAATGAGAACAAACACAGGCAGAGATTGGAGGAGGAATGGATGCCGTATTCCCCGACTAAAACTCAACCCCAAAAGATCAGAGCTATTTCTGTCACTAGAAAATATATAAGTTAGATGGAAGCCTGCCTAGAAACCTGCCTAGTAACAAAGGGTGCATTCTCTTATAGTACTTGTATGCTGTTGCTCGACAGGAGCCTTTTGATTGCAGACACTGGGCTTGGTCCTTCCCAGTCCTTCCTTTGATAAGGTCCATAATTAACATTTATAGCAAGTCCGTTTCAAAATCCATCCCCTGACACACTGTGCTCCTCCTGTTCCCTCCTGTGTCTGGGTTCCCCTGTGCTTGGCCAAGCATGTCTTTGGTAACACACACTGAGAGCTCCTTTAAATGACCTCCAGTTTAGGGACTCCTTTCTGTCTTCGACTGATAAAGTCTTAGAGCCGTTTGTCAGGGAATGAAGAGCAACCTACAGAATATTTTCCCCAGTGGATGTCAATAGTTGTCAAACATGTGAAAGCACAACCCTGCATGTGCTGCAGGGAAATGCAGGATCCATTTGCATCTGTCATATTCTAGCAACAGCTTTTGGGAAACAAAGCAGGGAAGGTGGCTATTGAGGTCACAGCAGTAACTGGGCATGCAACATTGCTCTCCTCTCACTGAGGTCTGTATCTAAAAACCAACAAGAGAAAATTAAGGGTTGATTATTTTTTTTTTTTTGTCATTGATGGTTTTAAAATATACATCATAAATCAGACTATGGTATTACACTGCTAATTATCCCAGTTCCAGAAGGAGCTCATCTGCATCCTTCTCAGTCTACATCCATTTCTTCTTCCAGTTCTTCTCCTGCAATTTCCATCAGTAACATCTCAATGTCATCATCTTCAGCGACAAGTGCTTCCCTCAGCTCTGTGCAGCTCAGCTGCTGTGCCTCACCTGCTTCTCGTGAGGAATGGGATGTTGAGTTTTAAGTCCTCAGACTGTGCCACAGAGTCTTCTTGGCTTCCTGGAAGCAGTTCCAGACTTGGGAGAACAAGGAAGAGAACAACCAGTACATGACATTTCTAACTGGAGATACGCTTCCAGCAAACCAGCTCTGAGATCTGTAGTTAACCCCTCCTGCACCTCACACTCACACAGGGATGAGGATTCAGTTAACCTGAGGCTGCCTTTAATGTGCAAGATACCAGCAGGTACATTTTTCATAGTGGGAATTTATCTGTACAGATTGAGCACTTTGAGACTAGAAAACAGGGGCCAGGTTTTGTAGCAGAAACACATTGCCACCCTCATTAGTTTGCCTGTAAATATGTCAAGAAGTCATCCTCTGCAAAAACCTGCTTACTAACTGAGTTACTTTTCCCCATTACATACTCAGCAGAGATTTTGAGTAAGCAATTTGAATTATTTCAGATGACCTCCTCCTTTGTTGGATTATGCCATGACACATCTCAAACACCCCGTTTTTCCCCTGATGCAGAAGAACTTATGTCTAGTGGAAAAATGGCACTGATGAACAACAAGTTGTGGTCATCAGCTGCTTGAAAGTTTAATGACTTCAACCCTGACCAAGGTGTATTCAGGTGGGACAGAAGCAAGAATCGCCTAGGAAGAAACAAGACAGTGTGTATGAAGCACAGGTAAAAAATTCCTAAGTAACTTCTTTTCCCAGAGAAGTTGAGGATGCCCCATCCCTAGAGGCACTCAAGGCCAGGCTGGGTGGGCTTCCAATACCCTGTGGGACGTCTGCTGCCTTCAAAGGAAACAGAAGACCAGTAGAATATTAGAAATCTCTATCTTTTCTTCAAGGGCAATGTAAGCCTTCCATATCCACTACTGCTTTTGCCAGTGTTCTTACTGTAGGTGGTTTTCTGGCTGGGGGCTCATCCACGTCCTCAGCAACAGACAGATGCATCTCTGCTGCCTTTTGCTTCCATCTCTGTATCCTGGGGAAGGTGGTTTTCCAGTCCATAGGCCTCACAGACACCTCGTGTCCACCTAAAGTAAAAGGAAGAGGCTGCTGATACAGTCTTGCTGTGCCTCAAGAGAGATTCACGTTCTCTTATGATTCCCACAGCCCTTCCACTAAATCAAATACATCTGACCAGTGGAATTACATTGCCATGTCCAGGATTCTCAGCAGTGCTTTCCACACAGTCATCTCTATCTACCAACAACTTATAAAAAGGAACAAGGAAACCCAATGGCTGCACTCAGTAATAATCCAGGGCAAGGAAAACTCTGACACCTAACTATCCTAAGCAACACCATTACTTTTCTGAGATGCTGCAACAAGCTCCTTGTGCTCACCTTTAAGTCTTTTCTTGCAAGGCAGTTTCTTTGCTTTTCCCTTCCTCTCCTCAGATCTCTCACGTTTTTGTCCAGCCAGGCCATGGGAGGAAGTTGGGATGTCAACTGCAGAGAACAGTCCCAGGAAAGAGCAATCAGGAAATCTAAGTAGAAAGACAGTGTATCAAACCCAGGTGCCTGTTTAGTACCTGTACCTCTCTCTGGTGCCTTCTCAACCTCTGTCTGGTTCCCCAGACTTTCTGCAAGGCTGCAAGACTGTTCACAGGGAGGCCACTTGCATCAGCTTCTGGCAGAAAGAAAACAAGAAATAATTGAAGAGCATCTCCCTGGAGGAAGCTTTCAGCACAGTCAACCACAAGCTTCGCATTTTCAAGCATTGCTTCTTACAGTTGCCTTTCCACTGCTCAAATGTTGTGCCATTTCTACAGTCCTGCAATGCATTTACCTCTCTCCAGAAAAAGCCCACCACTGTTCTGACAGCCAAAACACAGACTAGTATTTCACTTATCATCACTCTTCCCTGCACTCCCCAATGAACGGTTACTTGACACCCTGCACCCACTCAGAAGTAATATTCAAAATTAGGTCTTTCATGCTTCATGCCGTCAGAAACTCACTGTTGCTTGGTGGTACGGTCGGTCCGTTCCCACTGCGTTCCTTCAGGTGAAGAAAAGTGCAGTGGGCTTTCTGGCAGCCTCCTGGCCGATTCTCCCAAAAGCAGGGAATCTCACTGTGCTTCTTCTGAAGAGAGAAAGAAAGGAAGGGTCATGGAAACAGGCACATGAGGTTTGCAAAGAGATGCAGCGCTCCAGGTCATTTATCACCAAAGGAAACATCTGGGAGCAGATTTACAACATAAGCTGTAACCACTCGGCATATTTTGGTTTCTTATTCTTCAGGTAGAGGAGTCAGGCACTCTCAGTTCAGTGGGTTAAACCAATGCACCTGCAAGATGCTACCATTA